CATACACTAATTTTATAAAAGAATTTTTTACATGTCACTGTCAGGAGCTCACTGTGAATGTGTTGTCTTCAAATGGTTATTTAACCACATATTACACTACATTTTACATATAATATGTACCTAATCTCTGGGAATAATAAATTACGTTATTTATAAACAATACATAGGTCAACAGACTTTAAGCAGGGAGGAAAAGAAGAGTAATAGTGTCTGTGTGCCGCAGACCATTCAGAACTGTCACATGTGTCCCCATGGTCTCATTGTATTACTAACAATTGCCTTTTCAATGTTGAGTTCACCTCTTTATTTCACAAAGTACTTGGTCTCTCAATTTCTTGATCTGGTTTTTGCTTCCATTTAAAAACTAATCAAGAAGGGAAAATACTGAGATTGTGCATACAAGAAAATTGTTAATTTCCTGAAGATGAATTTCTACCTGTTGTGAACATTTAACTTTCTTTTTAAAAGTTAAAAAAAATCAAAACAAAAATAAACAAGGGATACTATGATGAATGTTTGGCTTACGTGAGTACTAGAGATACATTTTTTAAAACCAGTTATTCACAATATAAAATGTTTTCAAGTTAGAAAAAATTTTTAGAAATCCTGGGTATTGTACTTAATTGTAGCTAACCAATTTTAAAACTTGTATTCTTTTGAGAACTATTATTAATAGAAAAACTTTTTATAAGCAGTAAAATAAGAATGTTCCAGTGACTACCTATCCTTATACCTAGTCTTGTTAAAACTTTCTTTTGCAGGGTATTTAGTGTTTGGTTTACAGTCAGTGCAGAGTGGGCAAGTTAATAAAATGTTTGAACTAGAGATACTGGAAAAAAAGAAAAATCAAAGAATGAGAAAAATGGTGATCCATTTTGGGGCAGTCTGAGACCCCTCAAATTACTCTTTCCTCATGTGTATGGTGCTCCTCATGACTCGTCTTGTATTTTGCCTTTCTGATACCCATCAGAACTGCTGCTGCTCTAACTTATACTCTTTACCTTGCCCAGATCTCCGCATAAGGAATGCTTTATGATCAACTTGCCATAGGACTGATGGATTAACGAGTGTTCGACTTTATTTGAAGTCTATGCCCTGCACAGCTCTTGTATGTATTTTAGATGCTAGAAGTTTTTTTTAGCATGTGATGTGTGATTCTTGTTTGAATTCTAGGTACCTTGTGAATTCCAGAAAAGAGACTGTGCCTCATGATTGTTAGTCCCATGAACTTGCACTATCTTTCATGGTGATATTTTGAAAATACAATCAGGAAAAAAACCAACACCTTTGGAATTTAAAAATAGAATCTCATCATGAAATTTAGAAAGAATCTCTTCTGTTGTGTTTCCTCACCCTTAAGTAACAGCTACATTTCAGTAAAATGCAGCTGGTAGGGAAAAAAACCTTGGCCAGATGGTTGTTTAATGGAATAAACTGATTACTGGTGGGTATTTTTTTTTTTTTTTTAAAGAAAGAAGCTTCATCACAGATACTTTCCAGTTTCTCTTTTTTAAGTTTTTGAAAAATTACTTTTTAGGAACATTTGGTATGATGTGCATAAAACTATCAATTTATAGGCAAAATGATACAAGTAGCATCTTGATTGAACATCATTTACCTCAGATATTCAACCAGCAGTACGTTTTTTATGCAGTCTCAACCCATATCCCATTTTGTTACCTCTCAGAATATTGGTAAGCAGTTACTTTTGCTTTATTCTGTATTTCTTGTGTTTTGGGCACAGGTTATTGTACTACTGTCAAATCATACTTGCTATTTTTTCTGCAAGTATTTAACAGAAAGCTTAATATCCCCATAAAACCCCACCTTGGATAAGTGATTGTTAAATATTGTACAAATAAAGTGTATGCTATCCCCATTCCATCCCCAAGTTAAATAAAAAAAATGAATATGGTATTATTTGCATATGCAGTTTTTCTTTAGCTATGTGTTCTTAAAGAGGAGAATAGTAGCTTTGTAACTTACAGTGAGGTTTACACCTTGAGAACTGCAGGAATGAGGATAGTGGTGAGTGAAGGGAGATTTGTTAATTACGGCATTTCGCTCTATTGTCATCTAAACAAATTATATTCCCACTCAAGTATGTGTGTTGGTCTTGCCAGTATTAGGAAGCTGGAGGCTTGCTGGCATTGTGTCACACAGCACACACCAGTTGATCCTCAGATTTTCTAGGGTAAAGGTGAATGAAGGGGCAGCACTTAGGTTAGAAACTGAATTGCTTTCTAAACCAAATGAGGATGAAAAACATGGGTTAATATGCATGGAAACTCTACAGAAAGACTGAAGTGTTTCTTACAGTGTTTTCTCCAAAACAGTGATTCATTAGGATATTAATAGGTATTACATTTTCAACGTAGATAGCATTATGATATAGTAAGTTTGGACAAAACAGGTATTAATTCCCCAGAGCCTTTCACATGCATGACAATCAGTCTTTCTAACAAGAGTTTTGTTTCTGGTGGGCCACTTGGAGGGAACACAGGTGTAAAAACACACTGAAATATTCCTCCTTCACCTGCTTTTCAATCTGATGATTACTTCAGATTGGTAAGCAGCTATTTTTGCTTTACTCTGTATTTCTTGTGTGTTGGGCACAGATTATACTACTGTCAAATCATACTTCCTGTTTTTCTCTGCAAGTATTTAACAGAATATGGGATCATGAGTGTATGTTCTATTTTTCCTCCTCTAGTAAATGAAGAAAATATCTTTAAGCCATATGTATAAGTTTACATTATTCTTGAACCACTTTTTAAACTAGGGTTTTTCAGATTTGTTTTTATTTTATTGATGACAGTTTAAGCAATTTAAGAGACAAAGTTAGCTCAAAACTCTTGCAAAACACATTTTAGCTTTTTTGTGTGGTGGAATATGGAAAGGCCAACAATCAACACTGCTCCTCCCCATAAAAGTGCCTTGGGAGTATAATAGGCATATACTTCATTTGTGTAACTTTTCCTAATCTATTTTTTTTTATTTGCTTTATAACTGTTTCATGTTTACCTAATTGTTACTTAGTTTTAACAGCTGTATACCTGGTTATTGATGCATCTTCTGTAGCTTTTATGTAGCCAAGGAGAGAGATGAGGGCTGTCAGCTTTTAAGTTATATCTTAACAAGAAATCGCAGTCCTCAAGTCATTTTATGAGGCTGTTACCCTTTAAGACAAACAATACTTCCCTCAAATAGTTTAGAAAATTTTTTAAATGGTCAATTAAGAGCGCAAATGTAAAATTCTTACTTCTAGTGTATAATAGTGATGTTACCATGTTAAGTATTTTGGTGAAACGTGTAGACTATGGCGTAGAATCAGTATGCAAGCCTTAGCCTGAATGGAACTGCTGAAAAGTAAATGACAGGGATCTGAAGACTTAGAAGGCTTAACTTTTTGCAGGGAAGGAAAGGCTATGTAAGCGTAAGTTGTAACTACTGATTAGCTACTTTCATGGACAGAAATCTTTTATTCCACTTTGTGTCCAAGACTTCATTAAAACATTGTTCCTTAGAGCATACTTTAAAAACTACTTGGGAAGGAATCCACTGTCAAACTTCATGTCTTAATAGCACTGGCTTTGGTATTAAACTGAGTTGAATTCCAAGCCTGTTGGGCATTTCCAGCATTGCCACTAATGTGTTAGTTTTCTGATCTGTGAATAACAGTGCCTACATCTCACAGGGCCTCTAACAGTTAAATAGCTTTTATGCTGCACAAGCATAGGGACAGTCTGTCTTTTGTAAACCTCCCATGCACACAATAGGCAGTCAATCATCAAATATTCTTGAACAAATGAAGTCACTAAGTGCTTATTAAATTTCATTTTAAATATATGCCTCTGTTAATTCATGGATCTTGAAACTTAAGACAATGCTTTGATTGACATTTCCACATTCCTCATAGGGATTTTTTGATACAAACCGGTTTAGTTAACATTGCCATACATGTCTTACTACTTTTGGGAGTGATTTTCCAGAAATCTCTGGTACAGTCATATGTCACTTCATGATGGGGCTATGTTCTGAGTAATGTGTCTTTAGGTGATTTCATTATTGTATGAACATCACAGAATATACTTAAACTAACCCAATTGTATATAGTCTGTTGTACAACTAAGCTATACGTATAGCCTAGTCTATTACTCTTAGGCTACAACACTGTACAGGATGTTACTGTAACCATACTGTCGGCAACTGTAACACAATGGTAAGCATTTGTATATTTAGACATAGAAAAGGTAAAATAAAAATATGGTATTATGAGAGCACCCTCATATATACAATGTCACTTACCAAAATCTTATGTGGTGCCATGACTATACTTGTTTAGAAGGCAAATTCCAATCCTTTTGACCTATGGTAGGCTCAATAATCTGTAATTTTAGAAAATCCTACAAGGGATTCTGATGTGGATGGTATGAGTACCACATTTTGAGATGTCTAGAAGAAAAATCTTCAAATTCCTTGGCTTTTTTCTTCCAGGTGAACTACCCTCTGACTAAGCTGGTTAGTCTCCTGAACTAGAAAACCTGGGTCTGGGATAGAATCCATAATTTGCATGTGGACAGAGAAAAAAACCCTGCAGCATCCCTACTGTACCAAAGGTTACTTATTACACTTCAATTCTTACCATTATTATTATTTTTTTTACTCCTTTGGTTTAAGGTTTGTAAAGAGATCTACCTGTTAGGTTGAAGTGAGTTCTTCAAATAGATCTGTGTGTGTGTGTGTGTGTGTGTGTGTGTGTGTGTGTGTGTGTGTGTTAAAAAAGCACATGGTCTTGAAGTGAGTTCTTCAAATAGATCTGTGTGTGTGTGTGTGTGTATGTGTGTGTGTTAAAAAAGCACATGGTCTAGTCCCTAAAGCAGTCATATTTTATTCTTCTGAACTGCAACTTACAAAGTAATCTCAATCACTGAAATGATAAATCATGTAACTATTCATGATTAAAAGGCAAGACACAGCCAAGACAGTACACGTTCAAGTCTCACATAAGTACAAAAATATTTATAAAATGTTTAGCATATCATGTTAAAGGACAATAGTTTTTCATTCTCTAGAGAAGTATGAATGAAGTGCCAAAGTTGAAGTCACTGGTGATATTCATAACCAGCTGAGTGAGGATGTTGCCCACTGCCTCACATCTGTAGGACAGTTGGGATATTTCTGCAGAGCATTCATAATTTGAGTATTATCCAAAAGCAGTTTCATCAGCTGGTACTCTCTCTGTGAATTTCCTGAAGTTTTTTCCACGGGCTTTATTAATTCTAATTGTTGCAAGTGTTCAAAAGCCTGAAAGATGAAAGAAATAATTTAGGTTGAATAGGAGAGGAGAGTAACAAAGTAAACCCAGAGAACAGTTAGCATTTTGGTCAGCTGCAGAACAGAGTAGCAGGAAACAAAATGTAACAGCAATCAATAGCATTCAAAAAACACAACTCCATAAAAACTCCTATTATCAGGTAGGAGTGTTAGTGCACACCTACTTGTCCATGTATTGTTGAATGTAAACATGGAAAACTTTAATTCAGTATATACGATATGGTTTTCTTCCTAGCCTCATTATCATAGCTCCGCCTAGTACTTTAATTAATAGTGTTTCCAGTTCTCTATAAAAACCTAAGAATCAGATAAGATTTTCTGATTGATTACCTAAGCTACTCAGATTTACATTTATAGTTTGTCTCTACCTGTGTAAGGCTTTGCTATGTGAAAGGTTAACACAACTAACAGAAAGGGAGGCAGAAAAAGACCCTTGAGTCACTTAGGCATATTCAGCTGATCCTGTAAGAAAAAGATTCAGCAGGGTAGTATGGACATGGAGGAGAGAGGATAGGCTCCTATTTCTCCAAGAAGTCTGACTGAGGCTGTCACAGCCTTCTTCTATGGAAGAAGCTGCCTTCTTCCATCTTCCCCATCTTAATAGGGTTCTTTCCTGTCTGCTTCCTCTTATTCTTAATCTTCACGTATTATGTCTTTTCTAACCTTGAGTGTTATGTTAGGTATGTTATTAGAGTATGAAAAAAAATAGAAACCATTAAATCATGATATACTAACCATTAATAATGACACAGTGAAATAGATTCCTGAGCATTCTATTATATTCTTACAACTCACTGTAAAAATCATCACTGGAACATATTCTCTATGTATCACATAAATTCTTCTGATAGAGAAACAGCTCAGATACCATTAATATCTGAGAAAATACTGGGGGCTGCAGGTGTTAGAGCTGAATAGAACTGTACAGATTTAAAATATTTCAAAACAGCAAAATAATTCCTTATTGAAAATGCAGAAATGAGCAACTACAAATTATTAATAATAATTTAAATGCTTGGGTAAACTTTTCATTTTCACAACTCTCATAAACTAAGACTATCAGGGGGAAAAAGTCCTCCAGTGTTGTAAAATACTTTTCCTGTTTCTTTGAAGAAATGGCAATGCTCTGTACTCATTTTTGTTACTACAAGAGATGAAATTCTGATTACTAGGGCCTATAAGGGATACCAAAGGACTCGGGGGTCCATTGTTTTAAAAAAGATTTCTTTCCATAAAATCCTCAAGAGCTGCACTGTCACACTAGGCTACTGAGCAGTTCAATGTGGGACTCAATTGTTATTTAAACTTAAAAATGGATACTCAGTTCTATTAGAAAATTCTGAGTATGTTTAGAACAATTTCAAAATGTAAATTTACTTTCTCAGCTATAAATTTTATGGAATCTAAACAGCAAGAATTTCCAATGAATATTTAAGCAATTGAGATGTGCTGTAAGTATAAATGTATACCAAATGTTAAAGACTTTTAATTCAAAAGAACGTAAACTACTTTATAAATGTTTTTCTATAATGATATGTTGAATTAAACATATAATTAAAATTACACCTTTTAAATTTTCTTACAGGTACTAGAAAATCTAAAACTATATTATGTGGCTCATATTACCTTTGTAGTGGACAATGTTAATCTATATGAAGTCCTCAAGTTCTAAAACTCATGACTCAGTCCCCAAATAACACTTTCTCTGTATGGCCTCAGAGGCCAGTGAGATTTTGTCTTTTAAGTTTCTTAATGGCTCTTAGTTTCATTTTTTTCTCATTTTACTGCTCAGATTATAAAAGGCAATCCTTGGGTTGGAAAGGGAAAGGTGGTATCTATCACACCATACTGAATAGTTGTTTTCAGGATGCAAGTGCTATGAGCAGACAGCAGAGGGCAGTATACCTCCACAAACTAAAACAATTGGTTGCCGCCTCAGATTTTTCGAAAATATTTCATTTTTACATAATTTTCTTGTTTTGAAAAAAATCTCTATGATAAATACTTAATGTTTAAAAATTGATGAAAGTGCAATTTTAATACATAATCAAATTGGATGTAAAAAATATACTTGTCTGTAGAAAAATAACAGCAAACAATCTTACCTTCATGACAACAGGTTTTTCAAAATTATAAACAGAATGCGCTTTTCTTTGAACAAACTTCTGAAACTCTGGGTAGAAAGCAATGACAATATTATATCTTCACATAAGCAGTGGGTAAGAATCAGAAAAAAGCCACTTAAGTCTCATCTCACCATTATAGACCATTTGAAAATTAAATGGCTCCTCCTCATAGAGGTCATTTAAATGTTTCATTGCTATTATAAGACAGATTTCCAAGACTGATAGACCTATAGTAAAAGGGAAAAAAGCTATTAGTTTAGTGACACATAAGACTAAAATAACTGTTTTCCAAGGAGTACAATATAGTGAAAGATCTATGGTTTTGAGGAGTGAAGGTCAAGATTTCTTCTAGATTTCAATGTGTTCCAATCACTATTATCTATATCAATTCAACTAAGTTACTTAACCTCCCTGAGCTTAGTTCTTCATAACTTCAAAATAAAGATACTTTTAAACTTTTAGAAATGTCACAAAGATTGGAGACAATTTATCAAGCACTCACCATATGGCCCACAGTACACAACAAAAACTTCAATTGTTATGTGACTTTAAATCACATGGGGCCTTTGGGTAGGATTTATCCAGAGACTTCCTAAACTCCTGGAAATTATATTCAAATTTGTGTTTTCCTTTTTTCCCCTGGAGAGGAAAAGGTTCATTACGTTTGCAAAAGGAAATAATGAACCCCAAATAGCTGAAACCCAGTGAATGCTCTTCAGTAGCTCTTGGCACAATGAAAACATCAGCAACATAGTTTTACCTGGATTTCTAATGTGGCAAAAGAGGCAGAGCATCCAGTTTTTTTGTTTTTTTTTTGTTTTTTGTTTTTTGTTTTTTTAACTTTAAATGGAAGTGATAGTACCTTTAAAAAGACTAAGTTAAAGGCTATATGGAGACAAAAGTATTTTATAAAGCATTATGCCCATGTTAATTGTAATTTTAAGAAACATTAAATTATCTAAATTCAAACTTTTTAAAAAAAAAAAACAATTTAAAAAATTAATAAAACTGGGTTCTCACCATGTACAATATTTGCTTTTGAGTCCATGCTACACAGCTGGCTTGCTTCCATTAGATCTACAGCAGTCATAAATGGGTGTGATGCTGTTACTCGATTTAAAGAAAGCATCTAGGGAATGTGGATCAGAAAAACAATTACGTATTTACATGGGCATTTTGGAGACACTACTGTGTAAAACTTCTGAATTTGTACAGTCAATTCTTAAGGGAGAGTAAATATTAATGCTTAGGGAGGTATTCTCAAATTCAGTCCTATTAAAATACAGTATTTGAATTTATATGTCATATAACTCCACAAATGTAAAGCATAAAAACAGTTCTTGCTGCTCTCTTTAACCCATTCCACTTCCATATCTTGTTTACTTAATGCTTGGAAGAACAATATTTAAAGAGGAGTAGAGCAAGGAGAAGAAACTGAAAATAAATAAGAATACTTACTAATAAAAGCCCCAAACACAAGCCCAAAAGGCAGATCTATGCCTTACTTGTAAACTTTTTCACCACCCAGTCATCCAGCCAGGTTAGTGTTCAGTTAGACAGAAGTTAGCTATTTTATGTTCAATGGTACAAAAAAATGAAAAAAAAAAAAAAAAAAAAATAAAACCAGCACATTTATACTCAGGAATAACTCTCCTTGAAAACAGAATCTACTTCTCTTGTGCTTGTTCTTTAGTTATCCAAAAATGAACAGAGGTCCTGGACCAGAGTTGCTACTCAAGTATTTAAAAATTTCCTTTTTTCTTTATTTGTATTTTTCATAAAAGTTGTATTTGGTCATTTAGGATTAGAAGACTGAGCAGATAAAAACGCATGACCTCTGGTTAAATTTCAATTTCAAAGAAACAATAAATAGTTTCTTAGTATAAGTATGTGCCATGCTATTATATATGGGACATAATTATCCAAGAAACTCTCTCCTCTACCTTAAATAGGGCACAGGTGATTAGCTGGGCAAAGAGTTTGGCAATCCCTGTCCTTCATTCTCCTGCTGGTTTGGACCCACTTGGCTAGTATTCCCTCCCTTTGTCTCTCCTTTCCTTTTTCCTTTAATTATGAAAATTTTTTTTATTTTAATTTTTCCATAAGTTACTGGGGGTACAGGTGGTATGTGGTTACATGAGGAAGTTCTTCAGTGGTGATTTGTGAGACTATGGTGCACCCATCACCTGAGCAGTAAGCACTGTACCATATTTGTAGTCTTTTATCCCTTGCCCTGCTAGAAAACAGTGTGGACATTCTTTAAAGAACTAAAAGTAGAATTATCATTTGATCCAGCAATCACACTACTGAGCATCTACCCAGAGAAAAAGTCATTATTTGAAAAAGATACTTGCACATGCATGTTTATAGCAGCACAATTCACAATTGCAAAATCACAGAAGCAACCCAAATGCCCATCAATCAAATGGATAAAGAAACTGTGGTGTATACATATATATATATATACACGATATATATACATACACACACACACACATAAAATATATATACACACACACATATATATACATATATACATATATGTGTGTGTGTGTGTGTGTGTGTGTGTATGTGTATATATATATATATATATATATATATATATACACTGTTGAATAATATGCAGCCATAAAAAGGAATGAACTAATAGCATTTGCAGTGACCTGGATGAGACTGGAGACTATTATTCTAAGTGAAGTAACTCAGGAATGGAAAACCAAACATCGTATGCTCTTGCTGATATGTGGGAGCTAAGCTATGAGGACACAAAGGCAAAACAATTTTTTTTAACATATACAAAGGCAACAGAGAATAATAAATTGAATATCCATGATACTTTCCCTGCTCAAGAAATATGATCTTAGACTTGAAGCCCATCTCCTCCGGATTGGACTCTACTCTTCCCCACATAAAACAACCAAGTATGTCTATACTATTAGGTCAGTGCAAAAGTAATTGCCATTTTTGGCATTGAAAGTAATGATAACTTTTGCACCAATCTAATACAGTGTACTACTACATATACATTTATTACACAAGAGTAATTTTCAAATTTTATATAAATATTGTATCTTCACGACTCTCTTCACTGAACATCTATTATGAGATTTTATCTATGTTGAGGTAGTATCAATTCTGGTTTATTCATTTGTTATTTGTATATACCCACAATTATTCATTTCCTAATTTCCTATTGATAGACATCTGTCATTTCTTCTTCCTTTTTTTGGTCCCCAGTCATAAACAAGGCTGCAATAAACAACCTCGGACATGTCTTCCTGTGCATTAGGTAACTAGAGTTTCTTTAATTAGTATAAGTATGTTTCTCCAGTTACCTAATTTGCTAAATTGTTCTCCAAAGCACATGTATTTACCTTGGCAGCAGCAATAAATATTAATAGTCACAGACACGTTACCATCAAGCATAACCTCTGACACCCACTAGATTGGCAAGAAAAAAAGTTTAATTGTAGTATTTCTCTGGTTACTGGAGAGGCTGAAAATCTGTAATCTATAATGAGCTTCCTCAATGACAATCAATAATGGGATTAGCTAAGAATATGAGTAAGCAGCCCTCAAAGAATCCCATATGACAAAAAAGTCATTATTTAATTCATTGCCATGAATTAATAATGTAATCAAAAATGGCAAGACAATGGCTGTTAATATTGACAATATTGAGGCAGATATATTTTCCCAGATGGAGATATATATATTCCTCTTCTAAAAATTATTAGTCCCCAAATTACTTCATGATAAAGACACCTGTTGCTGAAAATGGCAGTATCCTTTTCATAATAGAGGGAAAATATATAGGATAAAAAGATTTAAATTTCCTTGGCAGAAACAGCTGAGGAAAGAGAACTTGTATATAAACATGGGTGAACCATATAGCCAAGTAGGACACAAACTTGAAGCCAGAGAGCTCTGGATTGAGTCCTGACTTTGTTATATACTAGTACTGTAACCTTGGGCAAGTTATTTAGCTTTAAGCAGCCTCAATTTCTTTAGGATAAAAAGTAAGATTATTCCAATGGTCAGACATAATATAGGTACTACTAGTATCTACAGCACTTGGCTTAATAGTCACAGACACGTTACCATCAAGCATAACCTCTGACACCCACTAGATTGGCAAGAAAAAAAGTTTAATTGTAGTATTTAATTAAACAATTCAATAAATGGTAGCTACTATCATCATTATTCTATTATTAGGATTATAAATGACCTTTCTACAAAATCAAAACTATCTTCTGTTTGAAAGATATTTGCTGTAATTTTCTAGAAATATTAGACTAAAACCAAATATTCTTAGTGAAGAAAGTTAATTTGCAGAACAATTAAGTACTTCTTGTTTGATATTGGTATTATGTAAGCTTAAGATATAATTATTTGGCAAAACGTCATGACCAAGTAGGATTTATTCCAGGTATATAAGGCTAGTTCAACACTCAAAAAATAATGTGATCAAATATATCATCAGGATAAAGAGAAATATGATCATGTTAATTGATCAAGAATAAGCATTTACAAAATCCAACACCCATTTATCATAAACTCTCAGCAAGTTACAAAGAGATGAGGATTACCTGTACTTGATAATGAACATGTATAAAAAAAACCTATAGCTAACATCATACTTAATGGTAAAAGTTTGAATCCTTTCTTCCCAAGACTGGGAACAAGAAAGATGTCCACACTCACTCTTTAATACAACGTAACACTGGAAATTCTAGCCACTGCAAAAAGGCAAGATAAGAAATAAAAGGCATACAGATTGGAAAGAAAAAAAAAATCCCCCTAGAATAAGTGAATTCAGCATAGACTATAAAATCAACTCATAAAAGTCAGTCACATTTCTATATATATATTGTGTGTGTGTGTGTGTGTGTGTGTGTGTGTGTGTGTGTGTATATATGTGTAATCAATCACATATTCTATATGTAAAGAATATGTGGAAACAAAAACCTCAAAACACCATTTACAATTGTTTTAACAAAAATTAAATACTTAGGTGTACACATTAAATGATCTGTGTAGTAAAAACTAAAATGCTGATGAAAGCAATCAGACAAGAAATCAAATAAAAAGAGATATGAAGCCCATTCCAGGATTTGCAACACTCAATGTAGTAAGCATGTGGATTCTCCCAAAATTTACCTACAGGTTTAAGCAAGTCCCACAACAACTTAATTGTCTAGTGAAAGACAGAAAATGATAAGAGTAGGTAGGCTGAGCAGAGGCTGATGCATGTAATGTCAGCACTTTGGGAGGTAGAGGTGGGAGGATGGCTTAAGGCCAGGAATCCGAAACCAGCCTGGGCAACAAAGTGAGACCCCGTTACTATTAAAAAACAAAAAACATCAACAAGCAATAAAAACAAAACTAATACAAACCAATAGCATGTGTAATGACCGCAGGTTTTTGCTGATATTGAAATGCTTCTGTAGTACTTCCTGCACACTTCTCTCTTCTGAGAGACACTAAAGGAAAAAAAAAAAAAAGTCAAAATTGAGGAAAGATGTGGTTTTAAACCTATATAATCCTTTGCCTTACTGGTTGGTGTACCTTATTAACTCTAATATTAATTCATTAGTAAACAGATGTTGGTCTTATTTGTAGAACACTAAAATCAAAAGAAACTTTCCAGTCTACTGATTTTCCTATCATGTTCTTTACATTAATTCAGTGAACACAGTGACAAAACAATCCTTGCTAACCCAAAATTTCTACTTGAATAAGGGAAACTAAACAGTCATACTAGTGAAATTAACAAAATGCAGCACAAAAACACAAAAGCATGAGTTACTGTACCTAGATAAACAAGGTAAAGCATTGCAAAGAATGCTTAAACTGAATGAGACAAGAGATTTAAAAAAGAGGGAAGACCATTTCAGTTACAGGGAACAACATGAGTAGTGGGAAAATCATGGCATATTGGCAGAAAATGAGTAGTCACATACTGGAGTTTCAGTTACTGGCAAAATGAATGTATAAAAAACAAAGGCAGAAAAACCTAATTGGAGGTAGCTGTCCAGACAAGAGGTAAGGAGGGTCTGAATTATCTGAGTTGTATGAAGACAAAAGAAAATTAAGACAATTTATAGGAGATACATCTGGTAGATAATTAGGTGGTAGCAGAAAAGAAGGAAGTGTTTGAAAAATAGAAGAAAAAAATCACAGATGATCTATGGGAAACAAAAGGCCTGTGAAAAGTGAAATATGGTCAAGAAATGAATCTTGGATTATCAATATTTAAGTATTAGGTGGGAAAAGAGAAAAACTAAGAAAGTAAGAAAGATACCAAAGACTGGAAGAGAATCCAAGACAGAGCAGAGGTCTAGAAAGTAAGGGAAGAAAGTTTCAAGAGAGAAGTGGGGTTCAATGATATAAACTACTTTGTAAAATTTAGATAAGATATATTTGAGAAGAGGCTAATGGCTTTGGAAATTCAAAGATCACAAGGGCCCTTTGTGAAAGCAGCATCTAAAGAGGCCAGTGACTGCAGTACATTAGGGCTAAATGGAAGGTGAGGAACACTGGCACTGAAGAAAAGATTACAGGAAAAGAGAGTAAATTCCAAGGTCAAAGAGCCAAGAAAGGCTTAGAAAAGATTGACATAATTTTTCAAAAGTCATCTGCATGGAATAAGGATTCTTTTTCCCTTTAAAAGAGAAGCCCAAAAAACTAAGCATTTTTGTATTTTCTAGAGCTATAACTACATGTCTACTTTTTCTACTCTAAGAAGACCACATTCAGAAGTAAGTTCTAGTCCACTGGAATGAAATTTTATACTCTCAGGAAATAGATTGTCTTAATTATAGTTCCCACTCCCTTGTTATTGTTTCTAGTCTTCTCTTTGTATTTTAAAGGGCCTCCTGTTACTGTATGTATATTTTTCTGTCACAAATATGGTAGAATATCCTTGGAAGTACACAAGGTGAACATAAAATAACAAAGCAAAGTAATACAAACCTTTTGCAAATTATAAAATTTTTTTAGCTTTTCCACAGTTTTAAAATTGCAAAATGGAAGATAAATACGTGGCTAAATATCACAGGCAAACTATAGTCTTGGCTTCTGTAATCTGTAACTTGTAAAAGTTGACGTGGTAAAATCAGAGCACTTAGGACAACTAAAGAAAATCACCTGGGACAAAATTGATTCTAAAACTTTTCTTTGCAAGAATCAATTATTTTTAAAACCTGTATTTGCCTCTCTTTGACATGATGCTTCAGAGATTAGTCTTCCGTACTCCACCTTACTACTTCATTTATTTAGTTTTAGTGGTTTGACTCCATCTCCCTCTTTCTGAAAGTTTTCACCTTCTTGCTTCTATAATTACTTAATCTGCTTTTTAAAATGCCTACCTTATATACATGAGCCATTTAAACAAACAAAAAAATTGTCTACCTCTTTTATTACATTTTTAATGCCATCTTGATTCAAACACCGTACCCTATTTGAGGATAAGGCTATTATCAATAACCAGTTGAATTTAGCTACAATACTTTGGGAGATTTCATTTGAGGAGAATAAGGTATGATTCCTTCGAGTGTTCTTTTTAAAGGATCCCTCTTATACTGCCATGGTAAGATAGAGTCTGCTCTGTTTACTTGAGTCATTTGAAGTAGGGCTAAAACAAACCTTCAAATTAGGCAGGATATCCAGGTTCAATCTTATCTTGAAGATATTTCTTGGATGAGATTCCATGTGTGACATGTTATCTGTATCACTGCTTTTGGTTTAATCTTGCCGTTAAAAATAACCTGCTGGATTATCAGCACTAAGAGAAAGAATAGCTCCTTTAATGCAGCTACCACCCTATTCCACAAGGCAGGGACTCTGACCATGGTGCTGACAGATTTTTCAAGTGAAGCTCATTTTATTCACATACCAAAGAGAGGCATAAGACAATCAGGATAGGAGAAGAAAATATTAGAACTCAGAGACACAAACACCAGTGATGCTGGTTCTACTTAATGAAACCTACTACTAAGACTATCAAAAAGATGACAGGATAGTGCTCACATTCAGGGGATTTAAAGTATGCAACAAAAGTCCAGAAAGCTAGAGCTGAGCTATGCTAGCAACAAATGGTTACTATTTTCCAAGTCATGCAAGAGTTATGCTTGATCACCAGTAACTCCCAGCATCCTCTTTATTTATATACTCACTTTTGGATGCTCAGAATGCATGGCAGTTGGGAAGGACAGGGGATGAAGGATGGCACAATGCCATCCTGGACCATGTAGTCACTTTAGGAAGATTAAGTGTGAGCAGGTATGGAAAAAATAAGAGTCCATGGAAAGTACAGACATTTAAATGAAACACTACACTGAATGAAAGACTACACTGAATCTAAAACAACCAAAAAAACATACTGGTGGAATAAGACAATCAGTTTAGGAGTTATAGAAGATGAAAAGTCTGTGAGGCACTGAAAAGTAGACCTGAAAGCTGAAGATCCAGAGGTCTGGTCCACACCAGACCCCAGTAAGAGGACACTGTGGGAGTACCAGCTACAAAGAAAGTGCTCCTATAGATGGAATCCTATAATTAGAAACAGTATCAAAGACACTTGCCACAGGTAACTGAAAGATCTGAGTCCCAGGCAAGATTAATTTGAGCAGACAGGATCCATACCTAATTATATCAAGGCACAATATCTGAGTTTTAAAGATAATGTCAGCAATTTTAACATAGAATTATGTAGAGTTGTACTGAAGAGGAAACTATCAGTCATAACAATGGGGAAAAAAGTAATATAAAAATATGTAGGCTTTGAGTCCTTTCTGTAAAAACAACATATTTAGCATGTATGTAAACTCTGCAATGTTATAGACTAAATAATTACTCCATAGTAGAAGGGAAAATTGGCATAGTTTTAAGGGAAACTTCCACTATTTATCATCTATTCTTTTGCACTGATTAAACTTTGTTCAATAAACTTTTATGATTAAAAAAATGAAATGTGACAAACTAGTACTTACATGAGACTATTTTATAATCAAAACAATAATCATTTAAAGAACAAACTAATGCAAAACACTTCCAATTTGGCATTGGTATTTAAGAATTCATGGCAAAAATACAATCTATCACTATTGCTTTAAAATAAAACAATCTTTTCTATAGAGTCAGTGAACATAGACTGTGCAATTCTATTCAAAGATCTAATTATCCATACCAGTATTTTAATATTATAAATCAGTCTTTCCCAATTCCTTCAGAACCAGGGACTCTATATTATTTTTCACTCTCAAGAGGCCAATTATTTTTGAGAGTCTACCATAAGGGACTTATTCATTAACAATGTTTTTCAATTATGTTAGTAAATACACACTCACCTGTGTACTCCCTCCTTTCTCTTTCCCAACTGAAACCTCTTGTCAGCATAATATTAAAAAGATGCTAGTGTGTTGAGCATATTTTAAGCACAGGTAAACTTACAGTCTCAAAGACTTGGCAAATCTTTAAAACAACATAAGAATCTGCCTTTGTGTCTAAGACTCTCAGGTCTTCAGGGACTGTGAGATATGTCTCTTATTAGATAATATAACCAGAGGTGCCACAGGCTGGACTGCTTCTTAAGGCCCAACAAAATAAAAGTTGAAGTCGCTAATGAAAACTGGAAAACAAAAAATCCACACATAATAGGTATGACCCACTAACATTTATCATTATTTACTAGTTATTATTATTGCTAAATATGTAAAATATCAAACTACTAACAGAAATCCTAAAGTGTAACTGTGATGTTCTTTTGAGATAGAATTTGGCTGGGAGTGGTGGCCCACACCTGTAATCCAAGCACTTTGGAGGCCAAGGCAGGCAGATCACCTGAGGTTGGAAGTTCAAGACCAGCCTGACCAACATGGTGAAAGCCTGTCTTAAAAAAAAAAAAAAGAGAATTTAGGAGATATGACATTTCAACTGTCTGTTTTCAGAAGAAAATTTTTGAAAAGTATATAGTTTGTATTCCTGCAGCTTTATACCCCAGCAATATTAGAAGCTTTATATTAATTTACTAATTTCTAAAATTTGTGTTTTAATTGCTTTAAATCACATAGTAAGGAACATTTAACTGTATTCCCTTTAAGTTACCTGAGCATTCTCATTCCACTTCTCAGCAAAAAGCTTCTCTGGAAATTCTGCAGGTAGAGATAACTGTTCTTTAAATATTTTAACATACTGTGGAAAACCAAATGAATTCATTAAGTGTATCTGACGGTGAGAAAATCGTGACTTCACTCTTTTTTCTAAGAGTTCCAAAATATCCTTAAAAACAAACAGAAATCTCTGTAAGATGCATGTTTAAAAACAAAACAAAACAAAACTACTGTATCAATGTTAGAGGTATAAGTAAACTATCACTTATAATTATTAATGTTTAGTCTATAATACATAAAAACTTAAAACATTTATGCAAACTAAATAATCCCCTCCCCCTACCGGCATCTGCTGGCTTGGTGATGCCATGCCTTTTTCTTACCATGTTACTCTCAGCTAATCTGTAACATTCCAAGACCCAATATGATTGTTAACTGACTATACTGAAGAGCTACATGTCACAGTAACATCAAGAGTTTCAATAAGGAATAGAAGAACTGAGATTAAAAAATTAATAGCATGATAGGCAGCAGGAACCAACTTTAGGAGAGGAATGTGGCAGAAGTGCAACATGGCATTTGTAAGTTAACTTCTGGCTTTTTTTAAAAATAGTAATGTTTTTAGACCCTATTTGTATTTGTGCTATTTTTCCTTAAGAAATCGGGAATCAAATTTACTGTCAAAGAACACTAAAAACCAAAGGATAACTAACATGTACTACTTGTAAGGACATATAAAGTGTTCTTAAATGAAGAAAATACTTCCACAAAACTGATAGGCATTGGAACTATCCAAGACATCAAAAGCACAATAGGTAAGCTGTCTTCCTAAGTCACATACATGGCAGGAACTGTCATTCCTAAATATCTTTTTAATACTGAACTTGAGCAATTTTTCAAAATATGTTACAGTACACAGAATACCATATTACTCAACAGTTACATTCCAAGGTATACAACTAAGGGAAATGAAACCAGATAACTGCAAAAAAAAGTGTATGTGAATGTTTGCAGCAGAATTATTTTTAATAGCTTAAGAAATGTAAACAACCCAAATGTCCATTCACTGATGAATGGATAAACAAAGTATGGTATATCTATACAACAGAATATTATTTGGCAATAAAAAGGAATAAAGGACTGATATATGCTGTAACACAGATCACCCCTGAAAACATGTTAAAGAAGCCAGTCACACAAAACTATATGTTGTATGATTCAAAAATAATAGTCAGAAAGTAGTCATTGCTTAGGGCTGGGGAGAGAACAGGGGATTGGGGTGAAGGCTTAAAGGTATGAGGCTCTTAAATTATGGTGATAAATGCACAACTCTATACATAAACAAAAACTCTGTTAATTGTATGATTTAAATGGGCGAATTGCTTGGTATAAATTATATCTCAATAAAGTCGTTTTAAAAAACTCCCAACCCCAAATATGAACACTGACATGCTATTTGATAACTAGGAAATTACAGCTAATATAACAATTATATTAGGGAAATATATTTTTAAAGAGCCCTTATCTCCTAAAATTACATTAAGAAAAATACTGATAAAATGACATAATACCTAGTTTTTGCCTCAAAATAATGAAGGGAGGGAATGAAGGGAGATGTAGAGTATAAATAAAACTAGTCTGTAGTAATTGAATCTTGACAATGAGTGGAGAAGGGAAATCAGGGTTCATTATTTATTCTCTCCTATGTATATTGTTGAAACATTACAGAATAAAGTTTTTTAAAAGGTGGGTTGGTTAAGCCCAGAAATATACATTTCCATGTCTAGTCAGATGACTCTCGTAATACCCAGGTCAAAAAATCATGATATAGCGGAGAGAATTCAAGTGAGCAAAAGGAGATCATGGTTAGTTGAGAAGGAGGACAGGAAAGACTTAACAGCCTGAGGTAGAGGCGGGAGGGTGAATAAAAAATTTTGAATGTTTTTATGAGGTCAAATAAAAGTATAGTGCCACCATGTGAACTAAAAGAGAAGAAAGGTTATATTCAGAGATACAGATATTGCACATTTATTTTCTATTAAGAAAGAGTTCTAGGTCACCCATTTAGGTAGACAGTGAAAGTAATAATCTACACAAGCAACAATTAAGAGCCTAAACTTGGGAATGAAAAGAGATGGAAGTACATGATGTCTTTGTAGTAGGTAGTAATGACAGAAGTTGGCAACGTGGGCATACAGGGAATAGTAAAAACAAAATAAAAAAACAAAAATGGGATTACTCCCAGTAGGGAAGAAGATGCTTGCTGACAGTCACTACTCTCTCTATCCTTTTGCTTTCTCCCTATAAACATGGATGGAGATAAAAATGCACTTGAGGCCAGGCACGGTGGCTCACATCTGTAATCCCAGCACTTAGGGAGGCCGAGGCAGGCAGACCATGAGGTCAGGAGTTCAAGAGCAGCCTGGCCAACATGGTGAAACCCCATCTCTACTAAAAATGCAAAAATTAGTTGGGCATGGTGGCAGATGCCTGTAGTCCCAGCTACTCGGGAGGCTGAGGCAGGAGAATCACTTGAACTTGGGAAGTGGAGGTTGCAGTAAGCCAAGATTGTGCCACTGCACTCCAGCCTGGGTCACAGACCAAGACTCTATCTCAGAAAAGAAAAAATTACACTTGAAAGAACTAAACAGTTGGAGAATTATATATACAGAACAAAAAAGAACATCTGATAACACTGCTAAGAAGCTACTGACCTTTTATTTGGTCCTACACTGGGTCAACAACACTTGCCACAGACACTTCTACCAAAAGGAAGATTTTTTTGTTTTTGGCAAGAAGGAGGGTGCTTCTTTGATCCCTGTCATAGCCTGCTGCTTTTGGCAAGGAGAAATAAAGATAATGTGGAGCACCAGCCAGTGTTGTATGAGGGAGGTTTATACTAAAGCCATGCATCATAAATAAGCTAGAGAGTACAGGGAAGGAGGGGCAAATGACAGTCACTCTATAGAGAAACAGCACTGGAAGGAGGACTGTTGAAATATGAATTAGTATAAAGTTTCACTTTTCTGAAAAAGAGCTGTAGGAAAGGAGAAATTATATTTATTAGCATAACCTGATTTCATACTTTTTTCCTCAGTTATTTTACTGGAAGGAGGGAGGTATTCATTAATGGGCTAAGGTAACCATTTACCCATTTTCCCCAATTTGAGTTGAAAAGCAGAATACTGCTGAAACAAATTTTTTTAAATGCCTAACATAATGACAAAATAAGTGAAAAAAGACTAGTAGTGTCAGCAATTAAGCTTGAATTTTAAAATATTATAATCAAATTTTTTAATAAAGAGAAAGACTTACCAATCTACATGTAAGACCAATAACTGCTATTGGGGTCTGTGCAGATTGAGAAATGTCAAAAAGATTATAGAGAAGTGTTTGGTTTTTATGATGAGCAAAAAGATCAAATTCATCTAATATGAAGATCACTGGGCAACTGCTAGTTCGGTCACCTAAGATAAAATAAGAGCATTACAACAAGAAATTATATCCACCTTTCCTCAGTTTCTAAGCTATTTACTATATTTCAGGTTTTAAAACTTAATTCTACAAACATACTGATAGCGTACTTTGGGTAGGGCACTTACTGATGCATGTACATTCATTCAACAAAAGAAACTATTCAAAGGACAATCATAGCCCCTACTGCTCTCAAGAAGTTCAGTCTAGGCCAGGCACAGTGCCTCATGCCTGCAATCCCAGAACTTGGGGGGTTGAGGTGGGTGGATCACCTAAGGTCAGGGGTTTGAGACTAGCTTGACCAACATGATGAAACTCCCTCTCTTATTAAAAAACAAAAACAAAAACAAAACAAAAATTAGCTGGGCATGGTGGCGGTTGCCTGTAATACCAGCTACTTAGGAGGCTGAGGCAGGAGAATCTCTTGAACTGGGGCGGCAGAGGTTGCAGTGAGCCAAGATCACTCCAGCCTGGGCAACAAGAATGAAACTCTGTCTCAAAAAAAAAAAAAAAAAAAAAAAAAAAGTTCAGTCTAGTTCCTAGACTCTAGTTTGTTTGAAAAATGTCAAAAATCATTTAAATGACTAAAGACTATTATTTTTATAATTATGTAAACATAATTCTTATTTAATGATTACAAAATTGGCAAAAGACTTTTCTATACCTATATAGAACCAAAACATTTAGGATTAAAATATAAGAGAAGTCACTACTTAATGAACAATACTAATGCTTTAAAAGAGAGTTGTTTACTGAGTAGAAATGCAAAGTATATTTCTCATAGAAATACTTTTTATAAACAATGGTTAGATTATAAAGTTTAACGAAAGCACTTTAACTCCCTTTAAGCACAATTTTCAGCATTTCAACTAAAATGCTTTTCATGGGGAAAAGTTCCACATGATTTTCTTTGTTACATTTTTCTCACTTCAATGATGGAAACTACTTTAGTAAAAGAATTCCTGTAACCTTAGGCTTACAACCTTTATATTTGTGTTAAAAAGTAAAACTATTATCTGACAAAAGAAAGACTTACTTCAACAAATAACAAATACAGTGCCTAAATGATTTAATACTGGTAAAAAACCAAAGGAATTACTCAAAAGTCTAGAAAGAGACCTATGTACTAATATAAAATTTTAATATTTGATAAAATATTGCATTATACATCAGTGGGGAAAATTAGTCTATTCAAAGTTAGATCCCTACTTTACAGGTCAAATCAAAATTTCCAAACTAATTATGAATTACAAATATATATATATATTAAATGAAAACATGGGTCAATGTTTTCATAATCTGAAGGAGTGAAAAAACTTTCTAGATAAACGTAACTGTGGAAAACGTAAAACTCTAGTTCAGCAGAAAAGTCCAAACCAAACTTAAGGGAAGAGAAAAATGAAACACAAAAATTCCGATAAGTAAGTATAAGATAAATATTACCAAAACAGGTCAAAGACCCAACAGGAAATACAGTCATGTTTCCCTTAACAACACAGATACGTTCTGAGAAACGTATTGTAGGTTATTGCATCATTGTACAAGCATCCTCAGAGTGTACTTACATAAGCATAGATGGTATGGCCTACTACACACCTAGGATATATGGCATAGCCTATTGCCCCTAGGCTATGAACCTGTAAGCATGTGATAGTGTAGGCAACTGTAACACAATGGGAAGTATTTGTGTATCTAAACATATCTAAATACAAAAAAGGTACAGTGAAAATACGGTTTTAAAGTCTAATGGGACCACTGCCACATATGTGGTCTATCATTGAATTAAAAGTGTTATGTGGCACATGACTGTACATAAACCAGGAAATATCAAAGGTCAATAAAAACGTGAAATGATAAGCATCACCACTATCAGAATTATGCAAATTAATCAGAATTATGCAAATAAAACAAAGAACAAAATTATTACAACTAAACTAAGAGATGAAAGATTTTCTATTAGATGGGCAAACATAAAAATAATTGTTTTTGAGGTTGTGAAGAAAAAGGTACTATCGAATACTTTTACAAAGTGAATCTTTAAGATAATTTGGTAGTGTTCATTCTTTTAAAGACAGTGCCTTTTAACCCAGAATTCTACCCACAGAAATTTACCCCAGGAAATATCTGGATGATCATCTAAGTATCTCTTCTTAATTATAAAAAATTAGAAACACAAGTCCATAATTGGTGATTAATAAATAGCACCTAATAAAACAAGATGAGAATCATAAAAATGGTGATGCAGACCAAAATTCACTGATTACAAAACAATAGTTAAGATAATTTTATTCTTGTAAAATGTCAAATTTATCTCTATCAATAACATACAGCAGGTGAATAAAGATAAGAAACCAAATGCTAATTGAGATAATCATTGCTATAATAGTGGGAATACAGTGATCATTATTTCTTTTTTATGTTTCTGTATTTTATGAGTTTTTCTTTTGGTAAAAGCTTATATTACCTTTATAATCAAGGAAAAAATAAAGTTAAAATATATCTTTTGATACAGCTGAATATGTTAACATTTACCTTTTTTTAAAGCTTCCAGAAGAAATGAAAGGTTTTCAGCAAAGCTTCCCTGAACAACAAAATGAGAAAAAAATGACTAAAAGTTTGGTGAAATAAAAAACAAAAGAGGGCTCTCTGGTTCTCAGATTTTACATAAACACTGTATATCTTCTAGTTATTAGAGTCACTGCCCAGACTCTGCTGAGTGTCTCTATATACATCCTATCTAAAATTTAAATATTTAAGCAAAGATAGTAGAGCACTGAAAACAGCAATAAATATGTCATGTATGAAATTTTATATTTTAGAACTTGAGGATAACCAGTCAAAGAAGAAAAAGAAAAGTAAGAAATTTTATATTTTCTGGACAAAATCTGTAAGAATATTAAATTTATTTGAAGGTAGTTTTATAGAGTTGCCATATTCTAAATACAGTTTAAGACCTAGAAATGCATTCTACTTTGTGTTTTCAAACACAATAGGATCTTGCAAGTCTCAAATTAATTTGTACCAGTAAAGAAATAACCATTAATTTAAACGAGATACAAGAAAAGGCTTTTTTGAAACAATAAATACTATAACAATGTTTGTCTATTCAAGAGTATATTGAATAATTTATGTGTATCATATTATGTTTGGCTATGTTTACATGGAATATAGCCAAAACATTTTTGTATACAATTAAATATTCTTGATGAAACTGAACAAGGTAGTAGATGCATTATCCAGGTGTTCCAGATTGTGGGTAGAAGTCCCATTTAAATATTTTTTTTCATTAAAGTTATTAATTTTTATTTCATTCAGAGTTCATAATTTAAAGAAAGAGCCAACTTTAAATTTGAGGAGGTACAAAGAGAAAAGAAACTCACTTATTTGTTCTCCAGTTGAGATATCTAACATAAAAATAGCATAAGTGTTTAAAAAACTTTCACTGTTGTTATGCTATTTCCAAGACAGGCAGACCAGGAGGTATTATCCATAATTTACTATAACATAACAAAGCCTGGGAAATCATACATACATAACAAAGTTGGGAGATCAGTGGTCAGTTACTCAAAGGTAGCTTGTCTTTCAGGCTTTTTGTTTAAAAGATTATATCTGATATTAAGTATATACTTCTATAAATATGTATTTGTGCATGTATAATATAGGTATATGTTTATATCAGACCAGAAAAGCTGTGGGTTGAATTAAGTGATTAAGTGACTTAGGTTCTTAGAGTGTCGAGCCTCTGCCATTTTATGACCTTTGGCAACCTAATTATGCTCTCTGAGCAGAAGCCAAATTTATATAAAATGAAGAAATTAAACTAATAATTTCTATAGCAGTTTTTGTCTATTCAAGAGTATATTGAAGAATTTATGTATATCATATCCTGTTTGGCTATGCTTACTTGGAATACAGCCAAAACATTTTTGGATACAACTTAAACTAATAATCTCTATATGTAATAATAATAATAATGAAGATTAGAATGATAATTGTGCCTTTTATTAGTTCACATAAAACCAATATGAATATGTAACATTAAAAAATGTCAGAAACAGTTATCCAGATCATCTGGGAATCAAAAGCCGAACTGAGCATACTTAATAGGAGCTGTCTTTGGCTTAGTATAGGCCACTACCTTCAACATCACATTCTAAACAGGAAGTAGAATATTAGACTTATAGAAGGAGCGTTTCGAAATTGCACTTCAAAGACCTAAAGACTATAGAAGGGACAGATTTACTCAACTTTTTATAGGTTAATTATTAAAGAAAGAAACTCATAAATACTAGGGATCTTATACAACTATGGCAGTGTCACTGCAGCACAAAGCATACAGTTCAGAGATTAGAGTGATGCCACTGCATGGTCACCAGTAACCAGAAAATGAAATGTATATAGCCCACTCCAAATGCATACTTAGTATGAGGATAAGTAATTTCATCGTGAAAATTCAGGCAGGTGCAAAATTAAATTATCATGTTTTCCTTAGGCCCTATATATTAGGTAAAAGGTAAAACTTTAATACAAGTTTCAAAACATTTCAAGTCAGTTTCTTTTACTGATGTGCACTATTCTGAGACTATAAGATGATATGATAATGAAGTATGAATAAATTCTGAAAACAGAGTAAGATAACTTACATTTGTACAGCACATTAACATCTAGCAAATTACTTTTTAAGTTAAATGATGTGTAATGTTCTCTTTCTTCTTTAGAATAATCCTATGAAGCATAGATAATAAAATAATGCCCAATTAAGACGAAAATAATTTGAATTCAGAGATACTCATTAGCTCAGGATTATCAGGTAGTCAAAGGGCTGTAAGGCATGACTGAAAACCACCTATTGCAGCTTCAAATTCAGCACATTTTCCACCATACACAGGCTACTAGACTCAAAAAAAGTGGAAATAGGCTGCTGGAGCACAGTATTTTAAAAAATGTGTTAATTTATCTCCAGAGATAGGGAACCAAAGTATTTACCTTATAGAAAAAGAAATAAACTCAGAATATCTACATAAACTTGGATTTCTTAGCTATTTTACAGCTAGTAAAATCTATGAAAAAATCCAAATATTGTACAGACTTGATGATTAAATGTATCCTATACATTACACATTTTTATGAAAATATCTTATATATTTAAATTTAGAATTTCTTTTTTTTTTTTTGAGGCAGTCTCACTCTGTCTCCAAGGCTGGAGTGCAGTGCATGATCTCAACTCACTACAACATTTGCCTCCTGGGTTCAAGTGATTCTCCTGTCTCAGCCTCCTGAGTAGCTGGGACTACAGGTGCGTGCAACCATGGCCAGTTAATTTTTGTATTTTTAGTGGAAACAGGGTTTCACCATGTTGGCCAGGCTGGTTTCGAACTTCTGACCTTGTGATCCACTTGCCTTAGCCTCCCAAAGTGCTGGGATTACAGGCGTGAGCCACCACGCCCGGCCTCAATTTCAAATTTCTGAACCTCTCCCTACCCTTCCAGAAATATAAAAATACCTGTGCTATAAAGATATTACCTTGAAGCTTATTTAATAAAATAAGTGAAATGATACTTACAAAAACTTTATCTCCAACTACATTTTCCAGATTTAACTGCCTTGTGATTTCCTTTAGGGCGATTTTATCATTGATCTGAAGCAGTCCTAAAAGTCCATTTAAAAGTATTTAATTAAAATATCACATGTATTTGATACACCAGGTTATTTTCCAGTTAAGTATATTTTCCCAGTCAAAGCATGTTAGTTCACATCACTTTCTTTTTAAAACTTATCAATAAAAACATTCTATAGAGTCAAAAAACAATCCTTCTTGGGATTAGGATGATTAAAAAAAAGAAAAAAACCAGAATCCTTGTGAGACTCCTTCATTATTATTATTTTAATTTCTAAAAATACTGTGTATGGTATGCTAAGTAGAAGCTGTAAAACATGGATCTACTTTTCAAAATCTATTAAAATGGATTTGAAATATACAAGTGAATTTAGTTTCATCATATAAAAACCCCACAATGTTTATATCATCTCGAATGGCAAAATGATGGCATACTTACCATTTAAGTGAACTTGTAATACATTTTCACTCATTTCTTCTATTTCCATGAGTTCTTTCAAAGCATGATTTATTAACTAAATATGAAAAAATTATGAAATAATAATAGGTAAAAGATAAAAAGAAGTCCATATTCCTTTTTAAACTACAAGTAGTGAGAACAGAATGTAAATAAATTGACCTCTTTAATAAATAAGTGTTCAAATTTTTTACAGATAAAAGGTTTAACTAGAACATATCTTATCTGACTCTTTTTAACAAACAAAGGCCAGGACTTATACACTATTTTCTGAATCACCTACCCAAACTTTTAATAAAAATTTAGAAACAACCAAGTTCTAAAATAAATACTTCTCTACATGTCACATTAAACATGTGACATGGCCCTTATAAACTTATATCTCAGTACATTACACATCTCTCTGACATTTACTCTACTAAATATCATTATAATCAGTTAAAAGCCTATTGAATTAAAGGTTTCTATGCAGCATACTTTTTTTGTAACACTGTACTGCTCTTATACTGTAATATCATATATATCTCTTCATATTACCATTTGCATTTAAGAAAAGCCAAAAACCTTTCTAAAGAGTAAAAATGGACTGTTCTTTCCAATATTAAAATATAGGATACTATCAAAAAATAAATGAACTGGGAAAAGCAGTTTGTATATACAAAAAAAAAAAAAAAAAAAAAAAAAAAAAGTAGAGATGGCATCAAAACTTAGGACAAAAAGGATTACTCAGTGAAGGCACCGGGACAACTGGTAAACTATTTTCCAAAACAAAATACTGTTTGTATTTGCAATATGCTACTTATTTGTCATGGCAACACCTTATCCAAAAGGAAAAAAGCAAATATGATCCTCATTTTAAAGTATATAGGTTTCACAACAAGATATCAAAAACAAAAAATTTTCCTGGTTACCTGTATGGTTTTTTTTTTTTTTCCTTTTTTTTTTCCAGGCAGTGCTGAAGAAAACCTGTATGGTTTTTAAAGCATAGGGAATTCTAGGTCCTCTTAAAAGGAGACAATCTCAAGATATCAGCTGTCATACTACCAGTAATAGCCCAGCTGAGAAGTGACATTTAATGAGAAGTAACATTAAAGGACTGTACAGTGGTACTTCTTCACCTCTGGATCAGGTCAGACCCTATAATAGGAGTACATCCACAGATGAGACAAAGTTGCTTCCTCAAAATACTGCTTTCAGCAAGTTTTTCCTAGCAATCCATGGTGTTTCCTTTCCTCCATCTCTTGATATTTTGCTTATATATTTTTTCCTTGGTTATGATTTTGTTTTAATTCATAAAATGTTTTATGTTTTGATGAATTATTCAAAACCACTTCAAATCCTTTCCTAAAAGGAATGAGGATATTAATAATACCTCCATTTCATATATGTGTGAAGAGAGTTGTAAGAGGTTTATAACTTTCTTTCCACTGAACTTAAACAGCAACTTATGCTTTGCTTGGATCAGCCCACTAATATTTTATGGGTTGTGTATATGGTTTGAATTGATAAATATATTAGCAAGTGAGTCTTCAAATAATATTAGCTCTAATCTGGGTATTGCTAAAATTTACTATGTAACTAGTTAGGCAATCAACCATTTAAGTTAGCTTTTTTTCTTGAATATGTTATTGTTTCAAATATTTAAACTACATTGTACACTAAAAATATTTTGTTGGTTATTAATGTTATACTGACCAACATAACCATCTCCTTTACACATTCTTTGTTCCTAAAATTAAATTTTACAAACATAGCAGGATAATTTTCTTAGACCTCCCAGCATCCAGTAATTTTTATGCTCATAAACTATTATACAATTTACAAATATTGTAATAAACACAGGATTCACCAATCTGCAACTAGGAGGAATATCCTATTTAACCATCTAGCAAATCTGTCTACAGTAAATTCCATGTAGAAGAACATTTTCTAAGGGTCAGGTTACAATGGCTCACACCTGTAATCTGCGTGCTTTGGGAGGCAGAAGCAGGAGGATTGCCTAAGCCCAGGAGGTTGAGGCTACAGTGAGCTATGATAGAGCCACTGTGCTCCAGCATGGGTGACAGAGTGAGATCCTGTCTCCTAAAAAAAAAAAAAAATTTTTTTCCCTAGGGCTCAACCTGCCATTTGAAGCCATATCAATTTTTTTAAAAAATAAAATGCCTGTAATATTACAAGCCACACCTTCTATTGCCTTTTTCAATTAACTATAGTTTGAATTTATGTATTTCTGACTGTTTGGCCAAGTATAGTTTTTTAAATATACTATAATCTTGGGGTTAGGATTAGAGGTTAAAACAAACATAAGGCTATAGTCTTATGTTTTAAAATTTGAATTTATATAATTATATTAATATGGCTAGGCACTGTGGCTCATGCCTATAATCCCAGCACTTTGGAAGGCCAAGGCAGGTCGATCACTTGAGCCCAGCAGTTCTAGACCAACCTGGACAACATAGTGAAACTCCGTCTCTACTAAACATAAAAAAATTAGCTGGGTGTGGTGGCAAATGCCTGTCCCAGCTACTCGGGAGGCAGAGGTGGGAGGATTACTTGAGCTCTGGGAGGCAGAGGTTGCAGTGAGCTGAGATCGTGCCACTGTACTCCAGCCTGGGCAACAGAGTGAGACCCTGTCTCAAAAAAAAAAAAAAAAAAAGAAAAGAAAAAAAAATTATTCTATTCTATTGAGAGTTCTTTTCTAAAAATACATTATATCTGATAATTTATTCAATCCATATTTTCTTTCAGGATACTCCCACACATACAACAAATTACAAAAGTAGCACAAGTCAAACAATGCTCCTCATCTCTTCAACCTGTCAATATTAGAGTACATCAGGAATACATGAAACTGTATCAAAATGGAATGCCAGGCAACGGACTCTTCCAGATTCCACTGTAGTAAAACCAAATAAATGACTGCAAAGCGCCAAAATATGGCTGGGGTTTAAGAAACAAAAAGTAGACAAACAGCATGGCCAAGAATAATTGATCCGTTTTATTAACTGATAAATACTATGTCTTAATGCTTTTGCTTTTAAATTTCAGTACATTGATTAAACCTATAGGGGTTTATAAAAAGACACTATAGCACGGGAGGAAGAGAACAACAAGCAGATTAGAAAGATTAAGTGTAAATTTAAAAGATTAAACAAGATGGCTGATTAGAGACTTCTGGTGTTCATATCCCCTACAAGAAAGGACCACAGCAATGAATGAACAGCTAAGATTTGTCTGGCGTGTTGAAGGGAGAGTGCTGGAGTGCAGCAGGGGAGTGGAAACGCATGAATAGTGACTGAAAATCCAGGAGGGCAGTGTGTAGGCACCTGGCCTCTGCAGCGCCATCTCCTGCACCTGGATCAAATCTTCCCATAATCAGGAGGGACTTCCTGTTTTGAGGAAAAGGTAAGCAGAAGATCCCCACCAGCCCTCACTGCCACCACAAACACCTACAGTCCTTACCACAGAAGAATCCCACAGTCCTAGCAAGCCCTGAGTCAAGGTGGAGAGCTGCTGGAATTCAAGCAGCTGCATTGCTCCAGATCATGAAAATAAGGTGTGCACTCTCCATCCCTCACCCACCTATAGACCAACTTGCTGCAGCATGGCACCATTGAGGCCAGAGCCACCTCTGCTGTGTGCCTTGCTCTGCAGGCCAGTAGCCACTGCACCTTTCCAGTGCTAGGGCTCCATCTTCATTCCACCAAACCCACATAGGTGGCTGAATACAGCAACTCTAGCTGCCTGGAGTCTGAGCCTATAATTGGCTATGACTCTGGTCCCCCACAGCAGGGAAACCAGGCTCTTACTGCCACACTTCTAGTCAGAGGGCCAATCTGGCAGTCCCACCCAGGGTAAACCCTCACTTGAGCTGACCAAACCACTGTGTGGCTCTCTCCCACGAAGGAGAGGTTCCTGAGCAACCAGGCAGCTGACACATTCCTTGGGCTTGCAGAGCAGCTATGTACCCACACTCATGAACCTGAGAAACAGCCCCACAATACTGTGTTCCTCCAGCAGACACACCCCTGGCTTGCCCAATGGTCCTGCGTCTACAATCAGGGCCTGAAAATAGCCCAGAAGGTTACCTCTGGCAGTCATGCCCCCAGCCCAGCCAAGCAGCCATGAGACATGACTTGTACCTGAGAAACAGCCCTATGGGCCACCCATGGTGAATACACACCTTGCACAGGGAGGCCAAGCATCCCTGTGAACACAGACTGGGTCTGAGAAGTAGCCCTTTGGGCCATGCTTGAGCCTGCCAAGCAGTCTTGTGTTCACATACAAAACCTGACAAACAGTGTGGCCTCCCTACAACCCCGTCAGACATGCCCCAGGACCAGCCAAGCAATCGTGTGCCCATGCCCCTAACCTGAGAAGTACACTCGCCAACTGCCACTAGCAGACACATACCCTAGCTGGCTGGGCAGCGTTACACCCTAGGCCTACACATCATCCCTGAGGGTTGCCTCTGGCAGACACTCTTTTGGGCCAGCTGAGCAGCCCTGCGCCTACTTCCCAGGTCTACAAAACAGCCCAGTGGGCCATATGCTGCTGAAAAGTTCCTAGGCCAGCCAAGCAGCAGTGTCACAGGCCTGAGAAACAGCCTCACAGGCCACCCCTAGTGGGCATGCCCATAAGCCAGCTGAATAGCCTTGTGCCTGCACCCTGAACCTGAGAAACAACCCTGTGGAACTCCTCAGCAGATATGGCCCTAACCCAGTCAAGCAACTATATTCCTATACCTCTGGTGGGGTCAAGCAGCCTTACACCCGCATCCCAGGCATCTCCTGGGCCTGAGAAACAAACCAGTGAGTTGCTCCTGGTAAGCATTCACCCAGGCCAGCTGAGCAACCATGTGACTATGCTCCTGGGCACATTAATAGTTCCATCTGCCAGAGGGTCTGATCCCAAGGTGGTTGAACCACCACATACATGCACATGCCCCCAAACTGAGAAAGAGCCCAGCAAACCCACTCCTGGCAAAGCTGTACAACTGCCACCACAAACTCTCAGCCTAGGCCACTGAGACACTTGTAAATGACACTAGTGTGGATT